TCAAAGACTAATGAGGACACATACTAATTATAATTTATAGACACATTAGAACTCATACTAGTGATAGTTTACATAGACATTTATGAGAACACATACTAGTGATAATTTACATAGACACATTAGAACACATAGTAAATAAGTGATAATTTATGTAAACACACATGAGAACCCATGCAAGTTATAAGTGATCATTAACATAGACACATGAGAATACATAGTAGAAAATAAGTGATAATTTACGTAGACGTATGAGAAATCATATTAGTGATAACTTACAAAGACATATGAGAACTGAGAACAAATACTAGTGATAATTTACCGACACATGATATAAACACATGCTAGTGATAATTTACACTTAATTTAATTTTCGTGTTGCTTAGTTTTTAGTTTTCTATGTTGTGTCATCTGTACTATTATTTGTCTGTTTGTCTTTTTATTTTTGGCCATGACGTTGTCAGTTTGTTTTCGATCTATGAGTTTGACTGTCCCTCTGGTATCTTTAGTCCCTCTTTTACATAGACACATGAGAACTCATACTAGAAAATAAGTGATAATTTACGTAGATGTATGAGAAATCATATTAGTGATAACTTACATAGACACATGAGAAATCATATAATTTAGTGATAACTTACATCATGTACATAGACATATGAGAACACGTATTAGTGATAATTTACAGACACATGAAAACACATACTAGTGATAATTTACATAGACACATGAGAACACATATTAGCATGATTAGTAAATAATTGATTAATGTCATTCGTCTAGAATACTTGACTGTAAATTAACTATGTGTAAATATCTGTTTTTGATTGTATTGTGATGTGTGTGTGGTTTCAGCGAGGATAAGTTTGTTGTAACTAACTATAATTGTTTACCCTCTTTAAATAAAAGAATTTATACTATTATTTTTTATAATAATTATTATTATGATTGTATGAGAGTTTGTCCGGGTATTTTACTATGTTATTACATTAATTGATTGATGGATTTTGAGTATTTTCGTCACTTTCATCATGTTCATCATTACAAAGTCTGTTTTTGTCTCGCCTGCGACGAAAGTCACAGTATGCCGGACATAGGTATTACTATCCAGCGGCAGCGTAAACTATTTGAATAAAGATTTATATTTCAGATGGTAGAAGACCTGGATGGTTCATATCTTGTAAATAGAGACCTTATGTTTCGAAGTTTCCGTCGGTCATATGTTCAATGTCATTGACCTCATTTTCATTGTTCAGTGACTGCTTGTAAAAAAAAAGATTTTTTTTTTATGTGAATTTCTTACTTATTATGAGTAATAGGATAACTATATTTAATACATGTGTATGGGTTTGCTGCAACGACTACGTGTCCGTCAGACCGGCCCATACACCTGACCTTGACCTCATTTCATGGATCAGTGGACAAGGTTAAAGTTACATGATGGGGTCAGTTTCAAATACTGTAAGCAGTAGGATTTATAACTATACGTGGTGTATGTAATTACTGTAATAGGTACATGGCAGTCTTTTTTTTAGTTTTTTGTGTTTTTCATGTACTATTAGTAATAGGTCAACTATATTTAGTGTATACACCGATTGTAAGGTATACATGTAGTTCTAGCCAGTATTACATGTATTATCTGACCTTGATCTCATTTTCATGGTTAATTGGTCAATGTTAAGTTTTTGTGTTTTGGTCTGTTTTTCAAATTCTTGATGTAATAGGTCAGCTATATTTAAGGACTGAAATAATTGTAAGATGAACATGTCTGTCTGGCAGACAGGCCCATACACCTGACCTTGATCTCATTTTCATGGTTAATTGGTCAATGTTAAGTTTTTGTGTTTTGGTCTGTGTTTCAAATTCTTGACGTAATAGGTCAGCTATATTTAAGGACTGAAATAATTGTGAGATGAACATGTCTGTCTGGCAGGTATTATCTGACCTTGGCCTCATTTGCAGGATTCATTGGTCAACGATACATTTTTGTATTTTTTTTAAGTCTATCTGATCAGGGACTTTCTATACTACTGTTAGTATAGAAAGTCCCTGATCAGATACTATAAGTAACAGGTCAACTATATTTGGTGTATTGATTGATTGTTCAACATTACACAGACATGAGAACAGTCAGAACGATTGTAAGGTTTACATGTCTGTCTTGCCTTGGTTAGATAACCTGACTTTGACGTCATTATCATAAAACAATGTTCAACATCACACAGACATGTGAACAGTCAGAACCATTGTAAGGTTCACATGTATGTCTTGCCTTGGTTAGATCACCTGACTATGACGTCATCATAGAACAATGTTCAACATTACACAGACATGAGAACAGTCAGAATGATTGTAAGGTTTACATGACTGTCTTGCCTTGGTTAGATCATCTGACTATGACGTCATTATGATAGAACAATGTTCAACATTACACAGACATGAGAAAAGTCAGAATGATTGTAAGGTTTACATGTCTGTCTTGCCTTGGTTAGATCATCTGACTATGACGTCATTATCATAGAACAAGGTTCAACATTACACAGACATGAGAACAGTCAGAATGATTGTAAGGTTTACATGACTGTCTGTCTTGCTTTGGTTAGATCACCTGACTTTGACGTCATTATCATAGAACAATGTTCAACATTACACAGACATGAGAAAAGTCAGAATGATTGTAAGGTTTACATGTCTGTCTTGCCTTGGTTAGATCATCTGACTATGACGTCATTATCATAGAACAAGGTTCAACATTACACAGACATGAGAACAGTCAGAATGATTGTAAGGTTTACATGACTGTCTGTCTTGCTTTGGTTAGATCACCTGACTATGACGTCATTATCATAGAACAATGTTCAACATTGATAATGTTAAGCTTGTGTGATACTTGTGGTAAAACCTTCATGATACAGACTTTCAACATAAATTTAATGATCAGTGAAACAATAGAGACAATCTTACAAAGACATGAGAACAGTCAGAACTTTATGCCTTTAATTACTCAGACACGGAAACAGTCAGAACTTACAGAGGTGATAACAGTCAGAAATACAGAGCCATGAGATCAGTCAGAACTTAGGGAGCTACCATTTGATTTTTATGGGTGGGGGGAAAGGGGGGGGGGCTAGGATGAAAAATGTTGTCCTGCCTTTTTTTTTAGTTGTAATCTCTGTCCTGCCTTTTTATTTTTCACTCTGTTCGGTCCTGCCTTTTTTTTTTAAAGTTTATCCTGACTTTTTTTACCTAAATTGTCATCCTGACTTTTTTTTTTGCAAGTGTCTCGTCCTGCCTTTTTTTTTACTCAAAACTCCTGTCCTGCCTATTTTTTTCAAATTTCATCCTAGCCCCTCCATAAAAATCAAATGGTAGCTCCCTTATATTACACAGATATTTTAACACGCAATGGTAGATACATTATTATTTTAGTGCAAACGTTCTTGGATCATGGCTCACTAACAGCCGAGACATAATATGATTGTATTATATATCTCTGCTGACAGCAAGATATTACAAACACACGTGAACTTACACTGGTGATAAACATAACCAATGTGGTGTATAAGTGTTTAATGTTTTACTGACCGCCAGATCTCACAGAGAGACATGTGAACACATACTGGTGATAAATCTAATTAATGTGGTTTAAGTGTTCAATGTTTTTCTTACAGCCCGAACTCACAGTGAGACATGTGAACTAACACTGGTGATAAACATAACCAATGTGGTGTATAAGTGTTCAATGTTTTACTGACCGACAGATATCACAGAGAGACATGTGAACACATACTGATGATAAACCTAATTATTGTGGTGTACGTAAGTGCTCAATGTTTGACTGACAGCTAGAACTCACAGTGAGACATGTGGACACATGGTGGTGATAAACTTATTTAATGTTGTGTAAGTGTTCAAAGTTTTACTGACAGTTAGAACACATAGACATGTGGACACATGCTGGTGATACACCTTATAAATGTGGTGTATAAGTGTTCAATATTTTACTGACAGCTAGAAAGATACCAGAGTATCAGTCAAACTCATAAATCGAAAATAAACTAACAACGCCATGGCTAGAAATAAAAAAGACAAACAGACTAACAATAGTACACATGACGCAACATATAAAACTAAAGAATAAGCAACACGAACCCCACCAAAAACTGGGGATGATATCAGGTGCTCCGGAATGGTAAGCAGATCCTGCTCCACATGTGGCACCCGTCGTGTTGCTCATGTTATAACAAATCCGGTAAATAGTCTAATTCGATAGGTCACATTCATGAAAGGGAAGGGGATTGTAGTTACGACGTAAGGAACATATCCGATATCATCTGTGAAACGGTTATTCCATAACGGTCAACCAACTCGTGATGGCGTCCGTAAAATTTACGGAGGGATGATTTCAACTTCACCATTTGGAACTCTTGGTTTAATAGCTTCCTTGTAAGCAGCAACCCTCTATCAAGAAAATCATGATAGGAAATACATGCACGGGAATATCGTATCAATTTGGAGATATATATACCCCGTATGCAGGTGCTACTGGAATGTTGCTACTTAGAAATGGAAAGTTCACAATTGGAAAGCTGAAATCATCTCTTTTGTCGTAAAGTTTTGTTTTCACCCGACCCTCATTGTCAATTTCTAGATGTAAGTCAAGATATAGAACTCACAATGAAACATGTAGACACATGCTGGTGACCTGATTAACGTGGTGTAAGTGTTCATTTTTGTACTGATCGCTAGAACTTACAGAGAGACATGTGGACACAGACTAGTGATAAACCTAATTAATGTGGAAATAGTGTTTAATGTAATACTGACAGTTAGAGTACAGAAAGAGACCTGTGGACACGTGCTGGTTACAAACCTAATAAACGTGGTGTAAGTGCTCAATGTTTCACTGACAGCCAGAATTTACAGAAAGACATGTGTACACATACCGGTAATAAACCTATTTAATGTAGTGTATTTTAAAGTTCTCAATCTTTTTCTTACAGCCAGAACTCACAGAGAGACATGTGAACACATACTGGTGATAAACATAATTAATGTGGTGTGAGTGTTCAATGTTTTAAATTAACTGACAGCCAGAGTCTTAAAATTAGTTAGAACTTCTTCAAAAATATGATACGAAATAGTAAACATATTTCAAGTCCACGAGGTACGAAATCTTAGATGCATTTGGTCGATAGGGTACGAAATGGTAATTTTGGGTATGAAATGGCGGAGGTACGAAACGGCTACTAGGGTACGAAATTGTTTTCTAACAGTGGTGCTTCTGTCAGAGGCGGAACTTACCGATTAGACAATGAACATGTACAAAGAATGATAAAGTTAGTCTCATTCCCTCGACTTATATTTGCCCTGTAAATTAGACCGAGTAAGTCTATCAGATACTATAAGCATGTGATACTTGTGGTAAAACCTTCATGTTACAGACTTTCAACACGAATTTAGTGTTACCTTGAGTAAAACAGGCGTACATTTCAGTACGTGAACTCTGTTATTTGTGGAAGAAGCCGCTGTTCCCGGAATAAACGATCGTTGACAGACAAATATAGAATATGCCGTAGATAGAAACGTTTCTACACACGTTTAACACAGCAAGGAAATCCGCACTCGGAGACGGGCTTCAGCTGGCCCCATAACAAAATGTATACTTGTTCAATGAAAATAAACTACATAATAACAAGTATTTAATATTTCAATAACAGTCAGAACTTATAAGACATGTGAACACATACACACGTGTTGCAAATGTTCATTTTGTGAATGACATGCAGTTAACGCTTACAGACATTCGAACACATTCATATAGACATGAGAACCGCCAGAGCTTACACAGACATGAGGTCCGTCAGACCTCACATTTTAGGCATGATCATAACAGTCAGAACTTACATAGACATGAAAATAGTCAGAGCTTACACAGAGAAGAGGTCTGTCAGATCTTACACAGACATGATCACAAGTCAGAACTTACATAGACATGAAAAAAGTCAGAGCTTACAGAGACATGAAAACAGTTAATACGTATAGACATGAGAACTGTCAGCTAGAGCTTACACATACTTGATAACAGTCAGAACTTACATAGACATGGGAAGTTTGGGAACAGTCAGAACTTATAGACATGAGAACCGTCAGAACTTACATAGACATGAGAAACGTTAGAACTTACAGACATGAGAACCGTCAGAACTTACACAGACATGAAACCAGTCAGAGCTTACACAGACATGATCATAACAGTCAGAACTTACATAGACATGAAAACAGTCAGAGCTTTACATGAAAACAGTCAGAGTTTACATAGACATGAAAACAGTCAGAGCTTACAGAGACATGAAAACAGTCAGAGCTTACATAGACATGAAAACAGTCAGAACTTACATAGACATGAAAACAGTCAGAATTTAAAGAGACATGAAAACAGTCAGAGCTTACACAGACATAAGGTCCGTCAGAGCTTACACAGACATGATCATAACAGTCAGAACTTACATAGACATGAAAACAGTTAGAACGTATAGACATGAGAACCGTCAGAGCTTACACAGACATTAGGTCCGTCAGAGTTTACGTGGACATGAGAACAGTCAGAACTTACGTGGACATGAAGAGTCAGAACGTATATTTATAAGCACAGTCAGAGCTTACAGAAATTAATGGAAACAGTCAGAACTTATAAACATGAGAATGGCCAGACATGCACACAGACATGAGAACAGTCAGACATTACACAGAAATGAGAACAGTCAGCACTGATAATATATCTCTGCTGACAGTCAGTTCTTACATGTACAGAGACATGCGGACACAAACTGGTGATACAATGTAACCCTAATTAATGTGCCCGTGGTTTATGTGGTAAAAGTATTCAATGTTTAACTGACAGCTTAAACTTAGAGAGACATGTAGACACATACTGGTTTATAAACCTTATTAATGTGGCGTAAGAGTGCAATTTTTCACTGACCATAAGAACTCACTAAGAGATATATGGACATATACGGGTCACGGGTGATACATATCCAGAAATCAACGCCACTTTGCTTATTTGAATAGTATACTAAAGAAATCGGATACGGGTCACGGAAATTATATTGAAATGATAGGGAATTTAGAAACAATGTCTGTTTTAACTTTGATTTAAGTGATAGACAGGTTGCCGGGGCAGAAAATAAATATACACAACAATATTCACCATTTAAACGAAATATAATGACTGGCGTTGCAAAAATCAAGGTTCCTGAGCTATTTCAAAAATCGAAGCGAGAGGCTTTTAACATTGCAGTATAAAATACAGGCTAAAATGGCTGAAACGTCAAATTTGCAAACTTCGTGTTGAAAATTGGCTAACAAGGTCATTAGAAATACAGGTTGCCGGGGTGAAACTTGAAACTTGAATGTCCAAAGAATAAGCAAGTCCAAACCTTGTATGTGTAGTCGTTGAACTCTAGGTTCCCACGTAAAGTTAAAATGCCTCTATTTCAAGAAGAATAAACTCACGAAAACACGAAAAATTCACTAAATTCGCGTTCATTGTTTTGATTTTGACCGCCTGACAACTTTACGGAAATATCAGAGTGATTATAAACAAGGACTCTGTGACGGGCAACTTATAATATCCGTGTTTTAAAGATTTTAATGATATCAAGCCAGTCCAGATCAAACTATTATCACGTGGTACAATTCTCATTTACATATTATGAATATTAATTAGCAAAAGTACTACTAATTTCTGGCTATGTTTAAATTAACTAACAGCCAGATTCTTAAAATAAGTTGGAACTTTTACAAAAAAAAATGATACGAAATAGTAAACATGTTAAACATGAGGTACGAAATCTTAGATGCATTTGGTCGATAGGGTACGAAATGGTAATTTTGTGTGTGAAATGGCGGAGGTACGAAACAGCTAGGGTACGAAATTACTTTCTACCGGTGGTTCTCCTGCCAGAGGCGAAACTTACCGATTAGGCAATGAATATGCACAAAGAATGATAACGTTAGTCTCATTCCCTCGACCTATATATGCCCTGTAAATTAGACCGAGTAAACAAACGATTGGTCTTCTTTCCACTAAATACATGTAAACTCAACTATTTAAAGAAAAACACAACACAAACTTATGTTTGTTGACTAGCTCGTGTACTGCAAATTGTGAGCTGCCGATTTAATAAGACAAATGATCAATATAAACATATTATACACCATACAATATCTTAATTGTTCAAGAAAAATAAACTCGTGTTAACCCTTTGTATTTAAATAACTGAATAACTGAATGTTCCGTGGCCGATCAGGATAACCCATCTGGGAAACCTGCGTCCTTTTGTCAATGCCAACGAAACTCTAAGTGTTGGATCTCACTTGTCAAATGAGAAAAAGAAAACATAATTTTGAAAATAGAAAAGAAATCGAGTCATTAAGACTCGGCGGCTAGAAAATATTTGGTACAAAAGTCGAGATACGATTACGTTTGTATAGCCATTCCACCTACATAAAAATCAATATATTTATCAAAATACAAAATTATGCAAATCTGTTTCCCTTAAAAAAACCCTTAAAAAATATGATGTTCACAGTACGAAGTACAGGCTAGAATTAACAATATAAAACCGTCGCTTTACAACCTAATTTTTTGGCGCCAAAAATTTCTACGCCTACACTTACATGTATTACACATGCGCAAGAAGACAATCAATTCCCGTTATACTTATGTGCCTCGGGAATTTTTTATTCTTAGTACCGACCGTGCGAGGGCTGAAAAGCCAGTCAAGGTCGTTAAACACTTCCATCATCATCGATTGTTCTTAATTATTTTAACAAACCGGAGACGGAGTGAAAAAAATGTATTGGTACACTTAAGTTGATACTGTTTATAACATAAAAACGAAGAATCTAGAATCCACTTGTACAAACTTGCTAAATCACAGATATTTTATTAAATGTCTCAGGCTAAATCATGTAAATTAAGAATGCCGAAATGGGTTAATTATATGACTTAAATTATGTCTTGTGTCAGATTGTAAAATTACATTGTATGAGACAAATACATGTTGCGTAAACTAATGTAACTATCCACCAAAGTTCAAATGAAAGATGTTAATAAATCATATAAGCAACTTTGGTCAATCGTTTGAACTTCAACAATGAGAAAACCCCTTGACTAATCAGTCAATACACAGCACAAATATTAAGACACCCCACTAGTCCAAATAATTATGTCGCGGCGTACGTCCCAGATAAAAAAGTTATTACCAGATTTCATAATTATTTGGACTAACACCCCACTAGTCCAACGCTCCATTAGTTTTAACACCTTATTGGTCTGACAGCCCAGTAGTCCAACTCTGTCTGTCTGTCTGTCTGTCTGTCTGTCTGTCTGTCTGTCTGTCTGTCTGTCTGTCTGTCTGTCCTTTTTCCAGACTTTTTTCCTTTGTGTGTGAAGATTTTGATTTGATATTTTTATGTAGTTTACAACATGACAAGTTATAGATCAAGTTAGAATTTCGTTCCATTACAATAATTTTTAACCGTTAGGGGACTATGTATTGCCATGCAATACTAACTGAATGCTTGTTATGAATAAGAAGATGTGGCTGTATGAATGTAAATGAGACAACTTTCCACCACATAATTTAATCATTTACGAACATTCATTTCCTTATGAATGAAGAAAACGTGAGGTATACATCAATGTATGGAATTAAGTAACCCAAACAAGCAGATGCATAAATGCAGAGAATGTTGAAATGAATATTTTATGTGAAAATTTCAGAAAAGTATCAAAAGATTTATGTCTTTGTTTTATTATTTTGTTCCTTACAGAGTTGTACAAGATCATGCATTTACATTAAAAAGAATGTATGAGGTAGAAGATTTCGTCACAATCAATGGTACACAACAGAGACACATAAGAACACAGACTGGTACACTTCATAAATGTGATGTGTGTCCTAGAGAATTTAGTCAAAGTAGTCACTTGAAGAGACATGTGAAAACACATACTGGCAAAAAAATTCAAAGATGTGACGTTTGTCCTCGAGAATTTGGTCAAAGTAGTCACTTGAAGAGACACGTGAAAACACATACTGGCAAAAAACTTCATAAATGTGATGTTTGTGGTAGAGAATTTGACCAAGGTAGTCACTTGAAGAGACATGTGAAAACACATACTGGCACACTTCATAAATGTGAAGTTTGTCCTAGAGAATTTGGTCAAAGTAGTCACTTGAATAGACATGTGAAAATACATACAGGTGATAAACCCCATATCTGTGATGAATGTGGTAAAGGGTTTAGTCAGCGTGGTAATTTACAAAGACACATGAGAACACATACAGGTGAAAAAACTTATGACTGTGATGTATGTGGCAAAAGATTCAGTCTTCTTAGTAATTTACAAAGACACATAAGAATACACACAGGTGAGAAACCTCAACATGTTCATGATTGCGATGTATGTGGCAAAGAGTTTAGTCAGCTTAGTGATTTACAAAGACATATGACAATACATACAGGTGATAAACCTCATGACTGTGATGTATGTGATAAAGGGTTTAGTCTGCCTGGTAGTTTACAGATTCACATGAGATCACACACAGGTGATATACCTCTTGAGTGTAATGTATGCGGTAAAAAAAAGTTTGCTTATCATACTAATTTAAAGAGACACATGAGAACACATACATGACAGGTGATAAACTTCATGACTGTGATTTATGTACTTAAGGTTTAGTCAGCATTGTAATTTACAGACTCACATGAGAACACACACAGGAGATGAACCCTACGACTGTGATGTATGTGGTAAAAGGTTTAGTGAGCAAGGTGAAAAACCTCATGCCTGTGATATATGTGGTAAAGGGTTTAGTCACATAAGTGATTTTCGGAGACACATGAGAATCATGACATACAGGTGATAAACCTCATTACTGTGATGATGTGGTAAACGGTTTAGTCAGCATAGTTATTTACAGAGTCACACGAGAACACATACAGGTGATAAACCTTACAACTGTGATGAATGTGATAAAGGATTTACATACAGGTGTTAAAATTCATAAGTTAACTGTGATGTATGTGGTAAACGATTTAGTCGGCTTGGGAATTTCCAGAATCACATGAGAACACATTCGGGAGATAATCCTTGTGAATGTTATATATGTGGCAAGGGGTTTATTCAGCATGGTCATTTAAAAATACACATGAGAACGCATACAGGTGATGAACCTAATAACTGTGATGAATGTTGTAAAGGGTTAAGTCGGCTTGGAAATTTACAAAGACACATGAGAACAAATACAGGTGAAAACTGAAAACCCCCATGACTGATGTATGTGGTAATGATTTAATTCGTCTTCGTAATTTACAGATTTACATGAGACACAGTTATAACATGTAGATACATGTAGTTGTCAATTATTGCTGCATTTATATTTGTTTTTCGTTGACTGTTTTGTAATAATCAGTATAATATAAAATAAGTGCGTTAGTTTTCTCTTTTGAAATGTTTTACACAAGTGTTTTATACTTTGTCATTCCGGGTTCTCTAAACATGCTAAAGCTTGCTATGCAGTTTGTGTTTTGCTCATCGTTGAAGGTCGTACGATAACCTAATATGAGGAAGGCGCTACCTTAAATGCCAGCTTTATACCAAGACTTTGTCCTATATATTGATTGATTGTTGGTTGCTTAACGTCCAGTGGCAAACATTTCATGCCTGTGCAGGATGAATGTCCTACATAATGCCAATAGTTTTTGTCTAAAATAAAATAATAAGTTCAGATGAAAAATGTTTATGGAACGATCATTTAACTTCAAAAGGGAGGAGGGGGGTATGGTAATTTTCTTGTCCAAATAATTATGACGTCTTTTTTATTTGATAGGTCGCAGGAAGGCATCAACAGCTAAAATATAAAATGGCCTACCTAGACGTCATTATTATTTTTTTTTCTTTGCAACATCGCAGGAGACGTCTGACAATGGAAAAATTTAATATAGCATTCCTAGACAACAAAAGTTTTTGGACTAGTATTTTTTTCCAAAAAAATATTCTGATTCCCAAATTGATGAAAAAAAATATTCTGTTCAAGCTGTAATTAGTACATTTTTCCTGTGATGTGTACTCCTTGATAATGTTGACGTAAGTATCAGTGGACTGGTCATGATTAAGAAAATATACTGGGTCAGTTTACAATTGACATACGCCAGTGCACCGCAAAAGGATATTTTTAACCTTTAATTCATAAAGTTGCGCATGCCTTTTTTCACAGAAACCCACGAGATATTTCAGTAATAAAAACTTAGTTTAGCCCTTTTGAATGATTCCCTGATTGTGTGAAAATTTGAATAGAAAATGTATGATTAACCTAATAAAATTGCGTTATCTGAAGAATTATTGATAGATTTCCTTACTATTTATAAAGACATATAACTAAAATAGGGACGAAAGATACCAAATAACATATCGTCCATGCTATTCTGATTTGAGTTTTTATTCATACATAGTCTTGCATGGCTGGTGCTGTGCCAAGTTGTCTTCTTTTTCTTCATGTTTCTTGAGAAGCATTTGTTTGACCTGGCCAGTCACTAAAAAGTGTTACAATTCATATTTAGACGCAACACATAACTAGTGATCGAAAAGGTACTGCTTTCACATGCATGACATGCAAGAGAACCTAGAAAAAAATTAAACGTACATGTACACATTTTCAACATTTTTGTCAGACTGAGACTATCATATAAAATAAGGAGCTATGTACGACAAAAGGGACGATTTTTCGTTCCCTATTGTTAATTTTCCATTTTTAGATTGTGATGTTCCTTTGGCACCATCTTACGGTGTTTATATTTCACAGCTCGTTCGCAATGCCCGTGTCTGTTGTGACGTTTTTTATTTTAACGAACGCAATCTATGTATTACACTAGACTCAAGCTGGCAGCCACTTTTAGCAGCCAATCAAGATAGCAGCCACTTTTTTCCAGCAGCCAATTTTGATGATATGTATAAAAACAAAAAAAACTGTAAAAGACTCAAACGTTCCGAATATATCAAAATCTTAGTAAAATGTAGTTTAACAGCGAAATTTGACAATTTCACGGCTTGTAGTCATTCTCAAAGGATTTCAGTCCGTTCTAAATACCAATAGTGATAGCAGTCACTTTTTTGTTGGCAGTTGTAAGGAATCGTGTTATATATATAATTCTAACCAATTTGGAATGAATAAACAAGATGCAATGCACAATAGAAAAGTTACATACATGCTTTCCATAAACTCGGCATCCTCAAATATAAAGTATTTTCGCTGAAATCATTTTTAATATTTATTTTTGTGCATATGAAATGAAAACATTTTGATGTACTTGTAATGATTATCTATACTTTAATGTGAACAAGTATTTTCACAAAACCCCTGCGTGGACTATTTTGTACGGCATGCATCATTACCAACTCATTGAATTAAAACTGACATTTTCCTTGTCAAATGTGCCAGTACAAATAATTGACATATAGCTAAAACTGTGGTTAGACGGGCCCGGATCCCAGAAAAATATTTAAGCGGGGAATAACCTAGGTCAGCACCTTTAAAATGAGCTAGGTCTGGTTCGGAACTTTGCCGTAGGGAGTTGCCGAGGAGTACCGAAAGCATGTGTAGTTAATACGAAAAGTACGTATAGGGACAACTTTGAACCCCTGTGGTGGCCAGACGTATTTTTTTCTATAACAACAACTTTGAAAATCTACAAATACCTAATGGGCCTAACTCCCAAAAAAACCTTCCAGTGGGCCCTTCCCTAAGTTAATACCTTTCATTTGAGCCATGTCCGGTAGCGAACTTTGCCGTACGAAGCTGGCGAGGCTTACCAAAATAGTTGAGGTGGAGACGTATTTTTTCTATAACAACAACTTTGAAAATCTACAAATACCGAATGGGCCTAACTCCCAAAAAAACCTTCCAGTGGGCCCTTCCCTAAGTTATTACCTTTCATTTGAGCCATGCCTGGTAGCGAACTTTGCCGTACGAAGCTGGCGAGGCTTACCAAAAGAGTGTAAGGCGGAGACGTATTTTTTCTATTTCAACAACTTTGAAAATCTACAAATACCGAATGGGCCTAAATCCCAAAAAAAAACCTTCCAGTGGGCCCTTCCCTAAGTTATTACCTTTCATTTGAACCATGTCCGGTAGCGAACTTTGCCGTACGAAGATGGTGAGGCTTACCGAAAGAGTGTAAGGTGGAGACGTATTTTTTCTATAACAACAACTTTGAAAATCTACAAATACCGAATGGCCTAACTCCCAAAAAAACCTTCCAGTGGGCCCTTCCCTAAGTTATTACCTTTCATTTGAACCATGTCCGGTAGCGAACTGTGCCGTTCGAAGCTGGCGAGGCTTACCGAAAGAGTGTAAGGTGGAGACGTATTTTTTCTATAACAACAACTTTGGAAATCTACAAATACCGAATGGGCCTAACTCCCCAACAAACCTTCCAGTGGGCCCTTCCCTAAGTTATTACCTTTCATTTGCGCCATGTCCAGTAGCGAACTTTGCCATACGAAGCTAGCGAGGCTTACCGAAAGAGTGTAAGGTGGAGACGTATTTTTTCTATAACAACAACTTTGAAAATCTACAAATACCGAATGGGCCTAACTCCCCAACAAACCTTCCAGTGGGCCCTTCCCTAAGTTATTACCTTTCATTTGAGCCATGTCCAGTAGCGAACTTTGCCGTACGAAGCTAGCGAGGCTTACCGAAAGAGTGTAAGGTGGAGACGTATTTTTTCTATAACAACAACTTTGAAAATCTACAAATACCGAATGGCCTAACTCCCAAAAAAACCTTCCAGTGGGCCCTTCCCTAAGTTATTACCTTTCATTTGAACCATGTCCGGTAGCGAACTGTGCCGTTCGAAGCTGTCGAGGCTTACCGAAAGAGTGTAAGGTGGAGACGTATTTTTTCTATAACAACAACTTTGGAAATCTACAAATACCGAATGGGCCTAACTCCCAAAAAAACCTTCCAGTTGGTCCTTCCCTATCAGTAAGCCTCGCCAGCTTCGTACGGCAATGTTCGCTACAGGACACGGCTCAAATGAAAGGTAATAACTTAGGAAAGGGCCCACTGGAAGGTTTTTTGGGAGTTAGGCCCATTCGGTATTTGTAGATTTTCAAAGTTGTTAATATAGAAAAAACACGTCTCCACCTTAAACTCTTTCGGTAAGCCCCGCCAGCTTCGTACGGCAAAGTTCCCTACCGGACATGGCTCAAATGAAAGGTAATTACTTAGGGAAGGGCCCACTGGATGGTTTTTTTGGGAGTTAGGCCCATTCGGTTTATGTAGATTTCCAGAGTTGTTGAAATAGAAAAAAATACGTCTCCACCTTAAACTCTTTCGGTAAGCCTCGCCAGCTTCGAACGGCAAAGTTCGCTATCGGACATGGCTCAAATGAAAGGTAATAACTTAGGGAAGGGCCCACTGGAAGGTTTTTTTGGGAGTTAGGACCATTCGGTATTTGTAGATTTTCAAAGTTGTTGTTATAGAAAGAAATACGTCTGGCCACAACAGGGGTTCAAAGTTGTCCCTATACGTACTTTTCGTATTAACTACACATGCTTTCGGTACTCCTCGGCAACTCCCTACGGCAAAGTTCCGAACCAGACCTAGCTCATTTTAAAGGTGTTGACCTAGGTTATTCCCCGCTTAAATATTTTTCTGGGATCCGGGCCCGTCTAACCACAGTTTTAGCTATATGTCAGTTATTTGTACTGGCACATTTGACAAGGAAATTTCAGTTTTAATTCAATGAGTTGGTAATGATGCATGCCGTACAAAATAGTCCACGTAGGGGTTTTGTGAAAATACTTGTTCACATTAAAATAAAGATAACAATTACAAGGACATCAAAATGTTTTCATTTCATA